TAAACACGCAACAGAGGTATTAGTCAAGTTAGGGCCTTGTGTCGAAGACCCTAGGCTCGAACCTTAGGGATTTCGACCAATGTTCACACCAGACTCTGATCCCTGTAATGGCGAAGCCATTGCATTATCTGAGAATATAGGGGGCGCGTTTTGGAGCCCTTGCATTACAGTTGTGGGCATCCCATATGGGGGGTTTCTTGGTGATTATGAAAACCCGAGAGGAGCAAACTGCCTAGACGTCGAACTTCCTCCCAACGGCATTTGAGGATTCGACACCTGGGGTCCAATATATTCTAATACTGGTTGACTGTAAGGTCTTATTATGGTTGACTCAGTCCCAAGCACTGAAGGTGTTGGCTCTGGCCTCACCAGATGTGTTGTTTGTTCTCCTGTTGTCGGTATCGAAGGCGGGATTACGCCATTCCCCGTTCTTTCGCTAGAACCGTCTGCTTGAGGGTTAGGATTGTTTAGCTGATTTGCATCTGTCGCCATATTCCTAATGTTTCGTCTCGTTAGTCTCTCTTTGTTTACAGCGGTAATTCTACCACTTCTCAGTAACATAAAATGCACTTCTCACGAAAGGACTAATAAGATTATATTTTCTACCAATTTTGATTATATGAAGGAATTTGTTTTTTAGCACTGTCCCACTAGGCGTGCCATTTTGTTTCCCTTGAAAATCGGAAAACAACCGCTGATCTTCCAAATCTAACTTTGGTGACTCATAGGATCGATCAGATTGATCCTAGGACATGTGCTAAAAAGGTTTTTTCTTCAGAAATCTATCTAAGTTTCACACTTAGGCAACATTGGAGTGAAAGGTTCTACAAAGCATCTATTCGACTAAAAAAGAAAAGAAGATAAAGTTTTCAGTGATAAAAGATAAAAGATTTAAAAGAATGGGTTAAGAATGAAAGTGAAGTAAAATGCATAGAAAAAGGGGGAAGTTTGTAAGAAAGATAAAGAAAGCTTTATAAAGTCTGAACAAACAAAATAAATTTCATTGGAAAGTAAAGGATGGTGTGTTTACATCACGTACATTCTCTTTGTTACTCTCTTTTTCTGCACTCGGATACTTGGAGTATTTTTAAGAGTAAATTATACAACAGTAAATTACAACACCTCATTCTATGTCTAAGACTTCCTATTTATGATAGTAGAAAATAACTACCAATAACTTCCTCTATCATCATCTTCCGCCACTTGTCACCATGCATGAGTCTGTTGCCCACATAACGCCACATGTCCTCTTAGTCATCCAGCGAACGAAAATATTCCCTCCAATTTATTTAAATTTTAAATATGTAGGATAACTACCCAGCAACATCACTGTCGAAGCTTCCAATGATTTTCTTCAAGTCTTTGTAGTTGCTTCGACTTTTCTTCCTCAAATGTCCTGCACTCTTCGACCTGCTCTCACCTCTAGCAAGATTCTAACACTTTCTTTACAATATTAAGTTGCAGGAGGGTGTCGAATTTAGGAGCTAACACTATGTGCTTGAGTAAAAAGTCTTGTCTCATTTGGATTCAAGCAACAAGTCTTAAGCCACGTAAGTCTCATTGCTTAAGTGCTTGAGTTGTGAAAGTCTTATTTAGCTAGTATGATTGAGCAAGTGGAAAAGCCTTCGTCTGAGGCGCGAGAGCAAGAAGTCTCGAGTGCAGCTTAAGCAAGGGAAGTCTCAGTCTGGATGGTCAGAAGAGCAAGTGGCTCAGTGAGAGAATGCGAGCAAAGAAAAGTCTTAGACATGTGCTCTAAGCAAAGAAAAGTCTCAACCATAGGATAGATGAACAGGTGGCTCAGTCAGATGATGTAAGCAAAGGTTAATTATTAGACATGTGCTTTAAGAAAGGGAAGTCTCAGAGAGTTGGTATGAGCAGTTGTAAAAGTCTTCTGCAGAAGCATACACGATTGTAATCATAAAGTGGTTATAATGAAAAGCTCTTGTGAGGCAAGGAAACTAGACTACTCTCAGTTAGGGGAGGAACCAATATAAATCTTTTGTGTCTTCTGTTGTTACTTTATTTACTTCTATTGTATCCGCTGTCAAACAAACTAACTCAGAATTTAAACATTAGTTCTGATTCTGAAACTCTGATTAGAAACTAAAGTAAAAGAAATGCAAAACACAATTCAACCCCCTTCTTGTGTACTTTTCACACCTTCACGTGCCTATCAGCATGAAATGCATAAATATGTAGTAAGGAGGTATCAAATAGGCCTCATGGGTAGCTCTCTAATGGAACATCAGGATCGACAAGGGCACCCGCCTAGGCTTCAGGGTCAACAGGGGCTTTGGGAACTTCAAATTTTTCTGCTTGTGAGACTTGAGAGAGTCAGCTACAAGAACTAGACGGGTAGGAACCTTAGGGTTGCGAAGTAGATGCACCATCAACTGAGTTATTAGCAACTCGTGGCCTCGTGGTCCTCGTTACGACCCTCTCACACTGTACCGATGCAATTTGGGACACATGCTCGATCCTAATCCAACCAATGTTGTCTTCAGCCATTGCACCCGCGTTAGAAACAAAGAGAGATATAAATAACATGTCTGGATAAATTCACAAATTCCACAGAATAAACCAAAAATTTTCCAGAATCCAATCCGAAGATGTATCTCCGAAAACAATGTAGGAAAAAATCGGAGATGCATCTCTGAACAAACCTACGATTGTCTCCCATGGAAAATATGTCATTCCTGTCCTAATAGTCCCAAAAAAAAATCTTAATGCATGTTCTTCTAGCCTATCTATTTCGTTTACAATAATGTCTATCGTACCTAATACATATAATGTAGCCTAAACAACTATCTACAAATCAAAAATTAAAAACGAGAAAAAGTAGTTACCTAATCAAAATGATGAGAAGTAGTTTAAATGTTTGAGATGCTGGAAAAGAGGATAAGATTCAACGTTACAGAGCTCTAGTGAATGGTGTTTGGATGAATGGATGAGAAGGTCGTTGCAGAGCTCAAATGTTGTTTTGAGAACTGTTTTAGAAAATGAAGGAGAAAAAGAGAAGGTATGACGCTGAATATGAAACATTACTGTCCGGAGATATATTTCTAGATCACCCACAAACTTTTGAATAAATGATATTTATAAAAATACATCTTCTGACGCACTTTTTATACATATAAAAATACATCTCCAGATTAACTTTTGACACAATAAAAATGTCTCTTCAATTTGCCTTAAGAAATGGCTAAAATAGGTGCATCCGAACTCTACAAATAGTCTAAATTCAATAAAAATGAAAAGAACATTTCCCTTTTAAAAAAATGTGTGTGAAAAGTAAATTAAAAAAAAAAAAAAAAGGATCATGGTATATGGTATAAGCCACTGATAAATAAATATGGGACGGACGTTCAACGTGGTGGAAGAATATTCGTCAATTACACCTAGGTAGATGACAAACACCAAATGAGTATCGGTGGAAGAATATTTGTCAATTACACCTAGGTAGATGACAATCACCAAATAAGTATTATGCAAAGGATTCTTATAAGGGGATAGTGTCAAATATTCCAAGTCATCACTATTTTAGGGCTGTCTAATTAATTTGCAGAGGCTAGGTTTCAACCTCTTGTGGATCATAGGTTTGGAGGTCGATCACAGCATAGTGGCTGAGAGTGAGAGTGTAGAGCTAGGTGCAGGTTTATATTATATCATTTCGGTATGAAAATAGTGTGTTTAGGGTGATTTTTCCTATATATTGATCTTCCATGTGTAGCCTTCTTTCCTATATATTGATCTTCCATGTGTAGCCTTCCTTGTAGGAAACATTAGTTCTGAGACGCCGCTTAACTGGTGTTCTGTTTCACTTGGGGGCAGGGATGGTTTTTTTTTTTTTTTGGTTGCTACAGTCTGGGGCTGAACTTTTTTCAATTTGTAAACTTGGTTTTACATTGGCATAACTTATGCCTTTTTCTTTTTAATTTTAATATACTACTCTATGTTTTGCTTCTAAAAAACAGTCAAAATCCCTCTCGTACAAAAATAAAACCTTAAATTACATGTGTTCCCAAATGATGATATTTTCATAATTCTCACGGCCACTGAAATTGGAAGGAAATGCAAATCAAGTAATGCAAACAAGATAGAGCCTCCTGGCTCCATTACATTATAATAACAAACCGGTGAAAGAGATAACAAACTCTCGTTTGGATCTGCAGTGGATATCGAAATTTCGTGTTCCAATGCACTCCCACTGTGAATATACTTGAAGCTACAAAATTAAGAACAACATACAAAGAAAACGCTTCACAAAACGTGGAAACTTTTTACATAGCACCAAAATCTGGATAATTAAATTGAACAGTCAATTAATTCAATTTATGGTGAAATTCAATTACATAAATTAACCACATTTTTCAACCTAAATTAAACTAATTATCTGCTCTACTAAATTAATCATACTTCTATTCGTGAATAACCAAATATCACGTGAATGCATAGAAAATAAATGTAAGGGAAACATTTCATAATTTGCAAATACCTTAGAGAATAAATTTTCATTCAAAAGTAACTTTTCTATTTTATTTTTTTATCATCAAAATTGAGGTATGATGCATCAATCATTTCAGTTCTGACAATCTGCCTATTTTATCATGAAGATCTTATTGAATTGGACAATTTAGAAATTATGAAAATAAGGCACAATTGATGCTGTGATGATATAGAAAATGTATCAAAACTGTATTAAAACAAACTTAATTTCATTACATTTATTGGCCTGTTTCATCAAAAATATGCATATAGAGCTAAAGGTTTAGTAAATACAAGGAAACTAGCTTTATAAAGTAAACAAGAAGTTTTTCCCCTCTATATACATGATACTTATCTATATCACAAGATTGAAATTTATAGTACATTATTATTTTTTTTTTGTTTCACAAAGAATCGTAAATTAAACCCCTCTATTACATTAGAAACACAATTGGCTGGTATGGGTAAAAAAAAAAAAAACTCGACGAATTCTCTTAAATACAAAACATACAATTTTAGAGGATTCGGTCTTGAAGATCTGTCATCAAGGAGGAGGCTAAGGAGCTGAGTTTTTTTCCAGTCTCTCCTGCAATGTTCTTAAGGGAAGAGATATCCTGTTGTGCCTGAAAAATAATCAGGAATGGGGCAGAAAGGGGAAAAGCATCCTATCAGACATCAATGCAAGAACTGAAACCGAAAACTTAATTTTCATATCCTATGTTCAAGAGGCGGACAACATGAACCATGAAGTTTCTATATCAATAATGTAAAGAATACCTGAAAGGATAATCGATTGATGAGATCACTGGCAGCAAGATCAATGGTGGAATCTCCGTTGTCACCAAAAAGATCAGCACTGGAGATGGCAGATGAACCCTGAAATAATAAGAGGAAAGACAAAGTCAAGTGGAGTCCCACTCAACAAATACTGGCCTATTCTGAATCACAACTTAAGAGAATTCTTTTTCACATGGATAAGAAAATTCTAACGCTGGAATGGGATAAATTTCATGTGTTAACTTGATCCTTTACCGCCCATTTAAGTAACAAAAATTAGCTTAGCTAATTTATGGGACCATTCTGAACAATTACTAGAAATACGTTTCCATATGATGTTCAGAAATAATTTCAGGTATGTATGTCTGTTGCTTATCTCAATAACAGTTTTTAATTGTGATAAACTCATAATCATGGACATTAAAAAGTGATCCCTAGGACAGACAGAAGAAAGGAGAACTATGTGACCCATAGACCACAAGTGCGTGTGTATAATTAATTACCTTCTTATAAAAGACTAGTTTCGTAGTACTAAATTGGGTCGGCTACATCGACCAAAAGGTGTCATAAAGTTCTATCATATATTATATTTCTATCCAACTCAATAATCTGTAGATTTTTCCTGATATTTCTTTTAAAACAGATTTCTAGGTCTTCATCTGCCTCTAGTGATTTGGCTGTCCTTATCTGATCTATTTTCTTTGCTATAAAATCTACTCTCTATATGCCCAAACCACCTAGGCCGAGTTTCCATCACCATTTCTGCAATAGATGCTACTGCTATACCCCAACTATCTCTAATGTTGTCATTTTTAATTATATTCTGTCTAATCTTACCACATATTCAACACAACATCCTCACCTCTACTACATTTATTTTATGTCAATTAATTTTCATATTATTTAATAATTTTCCTTGTGAAACTTGGTGCGAAATACACTAGCCCTTGATAATGCAAAAGAATCACAAATGCCAATTACATTAGTCCTTTTTAGAGATTATTGTGTCTGGTGCTTAAAATCTAATGACTGATATTTTAGATTCCATGGAGACTAGGAAAGTCATTTTGCACTCGGAACTAATGTGTCCATGACAAAAATTTTTAGGGATGAATTCAGGAGTTTGATTATTAATGCAAGTCCTAGCAATCAAAATAATATGGTTTGAAAGAAGCAATCCAATATAGTCCCATAAAGGGGATTGATCATTCAAGATAACACAAATGTCTCACTCTAGGTTTCAGCAAGTTATTATAAGAAAGGACACATACTGAAAATTTTGACAAAGAAGCTCGAGTCTCAGCATCTCTCGCCTTGTTCTGGTCTCCAAAATATTGAGATGACGAAATAGATTTGGCATTTGAGAACTTCTTTCTTGCTTCATCAGTTTCCTCAATCTAATATCAGTCAAAAGGAAAAAAAGAACAAATAAGTTCATGGCAAAAAATAAAATAAAAATAAGGTGCAGGTTAAATGATTGTTGAAAGAAACACCAAGTGCGCATTTTACGATGATTGGCAACATATGTTGTAGTCAGAAGAGATATAAATGATGTTCACTGATTACAGGAGTACATAACATGTAGATACAGTTTCAAAACAAAAATAAAACAATCACTTAAGATTCGGTAGCAACAATAATCATTTTTTCAAAAATCAAATTTAAACAGTCATTTAAGAATGTAACATGGCTTGTTTTATTTACTAAGTACTATGAAAAAAAAAAATCAAATTTAAACAGTCATGTTCGTTTTATCTTAATTCAGATAATACACGTTTGTGTAAGTGTAACTTCGCTCCATATATTTATTATTGGGATCACGTGACAAGAAGTGTTTGGTAACAACTGTGGTTGATTTTTGTAGAGTTGTTAAGTTGAGTCTTAATTAAGTCTGTTTTTAAATACCCCTAGTATTTTTCAAAGATTTCATGTTTAAACTATTATAGTTTTAAACAACAATGAAAATCTCTAAGCAAAACCAAGTAAAGACTATAAGATGGATGATATTGTTATAGCACCCAACTTCTGCTCATGCAATCATGTTGATCTCGGCCAATCTAACCAATGCATATCTTCTAGTTAGAAAAATTAAACAGGCACTATCACAAAATAAATTTAGGGATCCACAAATTTTGAAAAAAAAATAATATTAAAACAAAATAAGTCCTACTAGTTTTCCTTCCTATTATGTAACACTTCAATGTTAGCACTTTGCATGATGGATCTGTATTTTGTTAAAAGTTTGAACTGGACATAGCCTCAACATCCAAATTTGAAGACAAACATATATAACTAAAATTGTGCAAGTAGGGCTTACTTGCACTTTTGAGGTGCTTGACCCAAATTTCTTGGGAAAACCACTATCCATTCCAAAGTCTGCAAAGAAGCTTGATGACTTTGGTGCAGAAACATGATTGAATGCATTTGAACTTCCAGAATCCAACTCAGGTGATTGAACATTATCTACATACTCAAAACGAGAACTCAGAGATGACCTGCCAGACACGTTTGTTGTGGATGGAACTGGAGAAGGTGGTTCTTCAGGCTTCTGCTCATAGAGAGACTCACTTGGCTGCATTTTACAAGGATCATTTTGTCAGCAATTCCTATCATCAAATCAAAATAAAGAAACAGACAACAATAACCCAACAGGCAGTTCCAGTAAACAGCATACAAACAAAGATAACAATTTGCACACCTTTCTACTGAACTTAATTACTTGCTTACCTTTTTATTGAGCTTACGAGCACCAAGTCCCCCACCCTTCACAGGCTTTTTCCCACCAATAGGCTTCTTCAAATTATTTGATATTGTATGTGAAGCTCTAGGTGAAGTTGTGCCCTCGGGCTTTTCTGCCTTCTCCAAAGTGTTTTCTTTCAGTACCTCATTGATTTTGACCTCAGGAAGTCCATTAGAAGGGTGAGAAACAATAGGTGATGAACTCAAGCCTCCCTCCTCAACCATACTTTTAGCTACTTCCTTTGAAAGAATTTGCCTGTATAACTCTGCAGCTCTAGAAGTATATTTTGCTTCTATTTTACCACCATCGGTCCAACCATGTTGCTTAAAGAAAGTCTGTGCACGACTGTTTCCTCCAAAGCTCATTATTTTTAGTTGCTCAGGTGTCCATGAGTCTAAGTTTGTAGATCTGCATAGAAAAAGACATATAGGTATCAATCTTTTCTTCCTTCTTTCTTCTATTCTACCACTTCATCTCTATCGATTGTTATGCAATTCTTACATAAGAATTGTATGAAACAAAGATGCAGACAGAGTGAAAAGTTTCAATTGAGCGGCAAAACTGAGTCCTATCAAATCTCTCTAAATTAACGACTTATGCTTACCAGCCTAGTAAAATTTATTAAGCAAATGACTCCTGTTAAACATTTTATAGACCTATACACGAACAAAAATAGATAGTTTTTTGCAGGGACAATGAACCTCTTAATCAAATGAATTTTTCTCGAAAATTACAATTACTCTTCATAGAAGTTAAACTAATTGATTATTTCTTTTCAATAATCTATTCAATTGCTTCACTACCAATCCTTATACCATATTGAAACTCAAGAAGCACAACAAGATGGCTTTATATCACCAATCATCTTTCCAATCCTGATTCTCATATGATATCGATCTAATCATGTAACATAGAAAAAACACAAAAACACTAACAGAAACAAGAATGATTCTTTCTCAGGCTTTATTATCAAAAAATGACATGCAAACAATGGAGGACACTTTGGCCCCACAGTAATGTTTTCTTAATTAATCCAGATGAGCCAACATCAAAGTAAGTGAAGACAAAGTATGTGCAAAGATCATCACTCAATTTTGAAAACTCATCTACAAAGCAAGTCAAATTGAACATTACTCATATATCAGTATCCACATTGTATGAATATGAAATTGAACACCAACAACTCCTTCCCTCCACCCTCAACACATACAAAAACAATGATATTTCCAATTTCCAGATCAAATACAAATCCCATATCTGAAACGTATGTTATTCTGATTTCAAATAAAATTCAAAACCCGCCACAAAAAATTAAAACTCATGTCTACATCAACAATCCAAAACTTACACAACATATAATAAAAACATCCACCAGCAATTTATTCTACATTGCATCCAAACTACAAAATCATTTCACCCATAACAAACTAAACCTACACAATAGACGCAAAACCTCGAGTGCAATTTCATCTACTATTCAAATTTTAACCCTTTGTTTCAGGAAAATACTAACCACGCAGCATTGCATTGCTCTGAATCAACTCGCATATTAAAATCTCATCAACACACAACAAAATCGCAAAGTCTTACATACACATAGAGCACAGAATCACAACATAACCAACCAAATTCATCAGCATTTAACAAAACCAAGCAATAATTCACCTCACGAAACTGATATGAACACCGAGACTTCTATGAACAGCAGAACAATCAATGCAGAGAAATATCCCATACGTAACAGACGCCCATGTAGGATTCTTTGTATTGCAATCGAAACACATCTGAAACCAAAAAGCATCACAGATTCAAAAATCGAACCTAAACTAATCAAAATCGCAGATCTAAAATCCGATCTCATAAATTACACAATGCAAATAAAATTCTCAAGTCAAAAATTACAATCACAATAACCGCGATCAAAAATCAAATAATGCACCAGAAATTAAAATTCAAATGCAAAACCTTATTCTCAGACTTCAATTTGAGTTTTCTGAACACGACGTTCTTATCGGTGAATCCATCGGAAGCCATTGATTATGAAAAATGCAACAAAAAATTGCAACAAAAAACTGTATATGAAAAATGGAATTGAATGAATCCCTTTGATTTTTGAATATCTCAGGAGTGCTTTGGGGGAAGAAGAGCACCACCTGAGAAATATTAGATTATTTTATTTTTGGGGATGAAAATTATTGTGTAGTTTGAAACCGCAAAATTTTGTGATTTTTGCGTTTGTGTTATTTCCTTAGTTTGCTCATTTTCCATTTTCGATCGTCTTAATAAGGTGTTTTTTTAGAGTAGTAAAAAAAAATTAAAGTGGAAAGACGTGACTACCCTTGAAGTAATGGGGTGTTGTTAGCAATTGGGTTTTCGGGGGTCGGTGAATGGTAGTTGTCCCTGACCAAAGGGTGAACAAATCAGACAATGTAAGTTCTCAACAATAGATAGATCTATATTGTCGCTGTAATGTAACTCTTTTAGATTTTATGATAATTATTTCCATTCATAAACTGGTTTACTCTTCACTCCAAGATTAGTTTGTACACAAATATTTGGGTAATAATAAACGATGGTTTACAATCTATATTTGCTAATGCATCAGCACAACGGTTAGTCTCCCTATAACAATGAGATATCTCAACTATTCAGTCTCTCTCCAACATTTGATATATACTCTTAACTAAAGAGAATCCCATTGGGCTGCATATTTTACCGGTGGTAATAACATTGACAACTGTCATGGAGTCAATACTAAGCTCTACCTCTCAAAATCCCAACTGCCACACATAATTCAGCCCTTCAAACACTCCCCATAACTCGGCAACAAAGACACTGCAATCTCCTAGAATCTCGCAAAGCCTCCTAGCCACTCTCCCTGATTGCCACGAATCACACCACCACGTCCTGCCATACTATTATCTTTACATGCACCATCCGTATTCAACTTAACACAAGTCAAATTCGGAGGGACCCAACCTATTAACCTTCTCTCGCGCTTGTGATCCATAACATGTTTATCTGTAGCCATTGCTTGCTCATACTCGATTTTAAACCTCATGATAACGTGTCAAGGATTAGTCGGACGAACAAAGCTTTCCTCATGCATCTTCTTATTTCTCTGATTGCACACATAATGACATCCAATAGCCTAAGTGTCTCTCCAAGCACCACTAGGGGTGTGCATGAATTATAAACCAAAACAAACCAAACCACATATATGGTTTGGTTTGGATACTAAAACCATTTATATAAAACCGATTTATTTTTTTAAAACTAGTTTACAAGTGGATTAGTTCGGTTTGAAACCGGTTTTTTTTTAAAAACAGCTTTTTTAAAAACCAGTTTTAAACCGGTTTCTCTCAAAACCAGTTTTTTATTTTCTTTAAATAAATCAGTTTTAAAACCAATTTTTTTAAAAATTAAATTTTATTACAAACTATCAAATAATTGATAAACTACCTAAAACTTATTCTACTTTAAACTTATTGCAAACTATCAAATAATTGATATAAATCAATTAATCAATTTTATTCCAGTTTTACATTGAATTAAATCAACACTCCATATATCTTAAACTTTAAATTACTCAATGTAAAACTGGAATTAGACTAATTCCTTTTCATCGTGAATTAAATCAATTAATCGAGAAATACGTTGAATTGATATAAATCAATTAATTGTGAAACTTATTCTACTTTAAACTTATTGCAAACTATCCTTAAACTTATTCTACTTTAAACCAAATCAATTTTATTGCAAATTATGGGTGTTGATCTTGATTTTCCCAAACTATTCTACTTTTGTTTTTGAAGCTTATTGAAAAATGGTTACTGAATCTCAATCCGGTTTGAAACAAATGGTTACCGTTTTTTTTTTAATTTGATAAATGGGCCACCAAATTTAAAATATAAATTTGGAATGGATTTTAAAATTTGAATTAATTTGGATAGGAATTTGGTTTATGGTTATTGGTTATTTTACACACCTATATATATATATATATATATATATATATATATATATATATATATATATATATATATATATATATATATATATATATATATATATATATATATATATATATATATATATATATATATATATATATATATATATATATATATATATATATATATATATATATATATATATATATATATATATATATATATATATATATATATATATATATATATATATATATATATATATATATATATATAAATGGCACACCCTCTCCCGACTGTCCAGAAACTAAAACCGTCAATCATCGGAAGTAAATCCACCAACGTCTTCCATAAGCTCGAGACTGTTGCTTTCTTTGTCGCCTCGAAATTCTCATTACTGCCCCCATACTTCTCTTTAAGCACCTGGCACCAATATTCTTTTCCACTATTGTGAAGCTTCCATCCAAGCTTCAAAAGACAAGCTTGATTCATAATCTTCATATTTCTTAATCCCATCCCTCTCATCCACCTAAGTAACGTAATAGTATCCCAGCCCACAACAAGCCACTTTCATCGTTGTTCCGTTTCACCCTAGATGAATTACCTTTGAATTTGTTGAATGTCGTCCAAACAAGTCTTAGGGATCTTGGAAGACATCATGTTATAAATGGGAACCGGAATGTCGTCCAAACAAGTTTTAGCGATCTTGGAAGACATCATGTTATAAATGGGAACCGCTTCGATAATACTGTTTGCAAGAGTTACTCTACCCGCGAAAGATAGTTGATTAGCTTTCCATTTTGTAAGTTTTGCTTTTACCTTATCAACTAGGAATTGATAATCCATTCGTTTAGATGCCCTTGCCAGCAACGACACACCCAGGTATTTTCCAAGATCCAGTTTTTTCTAAAAACCAGACAAGTGAAGAAGTCTAAGTCGCATGCTTCTTGCTACATTTTTGGAAAAAGTAATGCTAGTTTTCTCTTGACTTATCTCTTATCTCGATAAGTTGCAAAAATTGTTTAGGATATCCAAATCACACCTCAGTTGCTGCTCACTAGCTTCTCCAACAAAACCAAGTCATCCACAAACATAAGATGGGATATCTAAAACCCTTTTTTCCCGACTTTGATCCCTTTCCACTCATTATTTGTAACAGAATGTAGGATAAGTTGAGATAACTTATCCATGCACAACATAAATAAGTATGGTGGCATGGGATCACCTTGCTGAATATTAGGAAGATCCTAAAGTCCCACATTAGTTGGAGATACATTATTGAAATAGTTTATATAGAGTGACACCCCTCACCTTATCAACCGGTTTTGTAAGATAGTGTTAGGCCAAACTCTAATATGGTATCAGAGCCTATCAGTCGGACCTTGGGAAGCCCACTGTTTAAATCCACGCACCAAGCCCAAAAAGAGTGTTGGGCATGAGGGGGTGTATTAGGAAGATCCTAAAGTCCCACATTGGTTGGAGATAGAGCATTGAAATAGTTTATATATAGTGGCACCCCTCACCTTACCAACCAGTTTTGTAAGGCAGTGTTAGACCAAACTCCTATATGCGGTTTGAAATAACCAGCTGTAGCGCCATTCAAATTCACATTCATATCTATGATAGTCACTGCATGCATTATTACATTCACTAAATTCTCCGGCAGTTGCAGCTCCACCAAGGTCCTCCATATGAATTCCCAACTTAACTTATCATAGGCTTTCGAAAGGTCCACTTTTATTGCAAATGCTCCTTTTTTCCACTTATCTTATGCATGGAATGAATCATCTCTTTAGCCACTATAATATTCTCATGAATATTTTGGCCTGGCACAAACCCTGTTTGAAAAGGAGACACAAGTTTTGGAATGCATTCCTTCAACCGATCCACCACAATTTTAGTAATTATTTTGTAGCTGGTATTACATAGAGATATTGGCCAAAACTGTTTAATAAACTTAGGATTTACTATTTTGGGAATCAAGCATATGCCTATTTGGTTTACTGCCATTATCATGCTTGGCTTGTTCCAAACTTGTTTGGCAAAATCACAAATCGTGCCTCTTATAGTTCCCTATGATTTTTGATAAAAGCCATAAGGGCCTGGAGCCTTCCAAGCATTCATACTGAAAGTGATTCTTCTAACCTCCTCATCACTCACAGGCGCAACTAACATCTCCTTGGTTTTTCTGTCAAGCTCAGGAAATGTAACTTCAGTTTGCCACCAATTGCACATTATCATTCGTTCTGCAAAAAGATCTTTATAGTAATCGTTAACCATCACGTGCAGTTAGCCAATATCATCAATCCACACCCCGTCTTCATTTTTCAGCATAAAAAAATTAGTCTTCCTCCTTCTATTAATAGTTTTAATACGGTAGTATCTCGTGTTACAGTCCCCATCCGTTAACTAATTCACATGCGATCTTTGGAACCACATAAGTTCTTCCCTTTCCAAGATACCACACATCTCTTATATGCAACTTATTCTTAAGCTTCATAATCCATGCTCTATTATTCCCTTCCTGCATGCTTCTTTGGATTCCATACAGACATTTCATAATTTCTTTTTTAGTCTTAAGAATCTGGCCAAAAGTATGAAATTTCCATGTTTTAATACCTCTTTCCATATTCTCCAGGTTTTATGCAATATCCATATCAGTGTTCCAATGTTGCTCCAATATTTCATTGTAAGAATGATTCAACAACCATGCACTCTCAAACCGAAATTGAGCTTTAGCAGTTGGATGAGGCACCTCCAACAGAGAAATAAGCAAGGGATGGTGATCCGGATAATCCAGACGAGTAAGAACTTCAACATATCCATTAGGAAACTCCATCCTCCAATTGAAATTACATAATGCTCTATCCAACCGTTCATAGATTCTCTAACCTCCATGATAAATTGGTCCTCTCCAAGTGAATCTCGGACCACTAGCACCAAGGTCAATCAAATTACACTCGTTAATTCGGTCCTTAAAAATATTGCATTTTCTAATAGAAACTGTTGCTCCCCCTCTTTTTTCATTCGAGTTTGCAATATCATTAAAATCTTATGTTACCAACCATGCTCCATTCATAT